CCTTAGAAGCAATCTGATAGCAGTTTCAACTGCCTGGTACATGCTAGTGGCAGTTTGCTAACGAGACGAAAAAGGATTGGTTGAAAAAATCGTAGAGGGATGAACCCTCAGCGTTCAGCACGAGAGAGCACTAGCGCCAGAGTATGCCAGCTGGTCATGCCTTTTAAAAACAATGAATTGAGCATACGCATTGTTTTTGTAAAAGATCTTCAGAGGCACGAGCTGGAGCATGAGAAAACCGAGTCACCGAAACCGAATGAGCATGTTGTTTTCGATGATAAACTCAATGAAGTTCACGAAATCGGAAGTGACATTGATATTGTGGTCGAGCCTCAGGTCACTGTTGTCCATTTCTTATAAGTAACAATATTTAGGAGGCAACCGGAGGGGTGCGCAACTAAAGAAACAAGGATTAAGCAATTGCAATGAATGGTTAATTAAGGAAATGATTTGTGGAGGACCAGTCAGAGGGGAAATAAAAAACCTAATGCAGAACTGAGCGCCTCAGACGCACAAAGCATTTCAATTTTGAATGATTCCCGATCGCCTAGACCAAATCGCGCATGGAGGATTCAGTTATGAGAGCCACCCCTCCCCTGCTTTGCTGTATCCTAGGGCTTTTCACAGCTGTATGAGTACGTTACGCTCTGAGAAATGACTCAGATAGCCTAATTTCCCGATGCGGGGATTGTCGTCAGCGAATTTTTTCAGTTTTCCAGGCTAGCTTTTTTACCAACACTCAGAGGCATAAGAAATAAGAACTGAAAAAAAAAGATCGCTAACAGGCGGGCCCGTACGATCATGCATTTTTGCAGTATTTCGTGCTGTTGTAAGATCGCTTAGAGTCACAGTCGCTAGATATGGCGTGCTGTTTCTCGACGCCATATCTAGCGACTGGGACTCCAAGCGATCTTACAACAGCACGAAATACTGCAAAAATGCATGATCGTACGGGCCTGGCCGATGATTATTATTATCACTGTCATTGTTATAATGCGTTTGTGCCGTGTAACAGTAGAACAAAACGCGTATTGTCACGAGGTTGTTCATGCGTGTGTTTGTATGTATGTATGTGTGTGTGTGTCCGCAACAACTTGTCCACAACAGTTTGTCCGCAACTTTTAACTTGGGAGCCACAGAAGCTAGAAAGCTGAAAATTTAGAGGAACGTCCCCCAATCCACATGTGATCCCGCAAATTTAAATTCAGCCTTCCCCTACCCGCGGGTGACACGTACGGCAGTTGGAGCAGATAGAATTATTATTATTATCATGGGAGCCATGGAAGCTAGAAGGCTGAAATTTTGTGGGCTTGTTTCCTGCTTACGTGCTACGCAGAAAATTTAAATTCAGTCTTCCCCTGCCAGAGGGTAACGCGAAAGGTCCCGTGAAAATTTTGGCGGATGAATTATTATCCTGGGAACCACGGAATCTAGGGAGCTGAAGTTTTAGGATAATAACCCCTTGCTCACGCACGATCTTGCAGATTCAAATTTATCGTTCCCATGCTCTCGGACATTACTTACGGCCCCCCGTGAAAATTTTTGCGGGCAAATTATTGTTTTGAGAACTATAGGATCTACCGAGCCGAAATTTTAGAGTAATGACCTCCTCCCCATCCCTCCCCCATGTCCCACCCAGGCTCGACCTTGCATATTCAAATCCAGCGCCCCCGCGCTCTCGGGTATCATCTACGGCCTCATGAAGATTCCTCTCGGGAATCGGGGAAGTTGGGAGCCTAAAATTTTAGGATGATCTCCTCTACAAACGTGCGACCTCGCAAATTTGGATTGAGCCTTCACGCAGCTCTGGATACCATTTGCGACCCCGTGAAAGTTTTGATAATTATGTCGTGTGCATGAAATTTTTATTAGGAAATTTCGCAATTAAGAACTAGACAATATTTCAACTACTTTTGCACAGACTAAAGTGCAAAGCAGTAAAAATAATTAGCAGGCAATCGCTCGGTGGGCAGAATTGCACAAAACGCATGATCGTACCGGCCGCCTTGGTGCACGCCGCTATTTATTCGCTTATGTGCTTACAAATTCTCTAAATCAGATTTGATTCGGCCACAATCCAGTCCCGCTTCCGTCTTAAACAAGAAAAATAATGATGAGCCATATGTCATATAATGAAAGATAGCTAATACAGGCTGGGGAGCTGATGAAACGAGTGCTCATGCATTTAAAGCGT